GTTGCCCAGCTGCTGCCCAGCTATATGTAGTGCTGGGCCGCTGGGCCTACCTGGTACTGTGTGGCCTAAAACGGCCCAGGTGGTCTGGGTCCCTACCGGACGTCCAGACCCTGCTGCTGCTGCAGCGTGGCGCAGAAATGCACCTGGCCTAAAAACGGCCGTCTACCGGTGCACCTGGCCCAAGGTGCTATCTTGGGTCCTGCAGGACCGAAACGATGCCGGTTTGGCGCCAAAATGCGCCTGGCCTCGTTTCGGGCCTGCCTCCGGTGTACCTGGTCCCAAGGTCCGGCCTTGGGGCTGCAAGTCCGAAACGGCACCTGAACAGACAAAAATAAGACAGCACACACACACAGCAAAAAAGACACACACAGCAAAAAAGGGTAAGTAATCGAAAACCTACCTACCTACGTGCTGCCTAAGGCCTGGAGGGCCGCCGTGGGCCTTCAGGGCGCGTGCTGGACAGTACGCGGCCTGGGGGGCCCTCAGCAACCGTCGGGCCCCTCAAATGGGGCCCGTGTGCAGGCTCAGCATGCAACATCCGGGCACCTGCAGACCTCCACACACAAGTTACCAAGGCAGCACTTCCGCATGGCTCACAGGCGAATGCATGAATGGCTGGACGCTGCCTCTTTATTTATACTGCTTCGGAGGTGGCCAGGCCCTGTCCCAAAACGCATGGCCTTGGGCCAAAACGCGCGGGGCCTGGGCCTAGAATCTTCCAGGCCGTGTGGGCCTGATAGACCCAAAACGTGTGGGGCCCTCTGAGCCAAAACGTGTGGCCCCCAAGATGCGTTTCTGGAGGCTTCTGTATACTGCGTGGCCAGATCCTTCCCCCACATGCAGCCCTGGTACTTGCTGACTCAGACCGACTCTTCCGGACAGACTCTTCTGGAACCTAGAGCCTACGGACTGTTACCTACAGACTGACTCTTAGGCCTAAGAAGGGGTAAGGAGAGACTTCTAGAACCGACCTTCCTGAACTAATGGTAACAGACTTGAGTACTAACCTACAGACCTAGGGATCAAGCCCAACTTCCCTTCCTACATCCTAACCTGTGACACAGGACTGTTCGAGGGTTCGAATCTCACACAGTCACCGGGTGATTGTACAGGGCTCAGGCATAGGTCTAGCGATCGAATCTCAGTGTCTGCAAATGTCGTGTCAACTGGGTGAAAACCGTTTCACTCCAGCCGTCCTAAATTCGAGGTCCTCCGAGAACACTCTAACTCAAGCTAGGACCTTTCCCCTTTCTTTCTCTTTCATAGGCGTGTACTATGTCGGGAACGGTTTCTAACAGCTCTGTTCTAGTAAACCATCTGTTGTCCTCTGGTTCTTGATATGTGAACCTGACTTTGTATTGCTTGTGGGGACGACCTCGCCCTCCGGTTCTGAACACGTCCTCGTCCACTATGCAATCTATATCGTAGGCACCATCCATATCTGGCGGAATCATTGACCTTCGCGAAGGAAATCTGTCACTGGTGGTGCACGACAGTAGCTTTGACGCATGGAAGATGTGCTGGAATGGATGGTCCGTCCTCTCCTCCTTCGACTTCTAGGACAGGCCATGGTCCTCTGTATGCAGGTAAGAGCTTTTGCGAGATGTTCTCCTCGAGTGCGAACTCTTTAGATTTGACCCACACTAGGTCGCCTGCCTGAAACTGTGAAGGTCGGTGGTGCTTGTTAGCTCGCTCAATCATACGATGCTGGGCCTTCCTCAGGTTCTCAATCACCTTAGCGACTTCTTGCTCATGCTGCAATGCAAATTCTCGGGTGCCGGGCGGTAATCTCTGTTCTGATCCCGGTTTAGTCCTTCAAACGGTCTCCTTTGTCTATAGGACTTATGCAGCTTGTTAGGGGTCCTACAGGTAGCTAGATGAACACTGTTATTAAAGGCGCTTGCTACCTTGGGGAGCATCTCATCCCAGTTCACCTGATCCGGTCTAATATACATTCTGAGTAGCTGCTGCAAGATCTTATTCCTTTGTTCTGTCTGGCCATTCGTCTCTGGGTGTCGTTCTGATGACATCAACAACTTAGACCCATAGACTTTCATAAGATCCTGCCAATTTTGGCTGGTGAACCGTGTGTCTCTATCACTAACTATGGACAACGGTAGACCGTGCTCGCTTACCCAGAAATTCAAAAACTTTTCTATAACTAAATCGGCACGTGCCTTTGAAGGTAAAGGTACGAAAACCGCATACTTACTAAATCGATCTACTATGACCATAACTTGACTTTTGCCATGCCTACATCTGACCCCAGTATCCATGACGTCGATGGAAACTGACTCTCCGGGTCCTGATGGAATAGGCAGGGGTCTGAGAAGACCTCATGGTGCTCTAGTCGTCATCTTATTGCATTGGCAAACTTTACAGCTGCGCACATATTCTATGCAGTCCGTTTTCATGCCTGGCCACGTGTAAGGCATCATCAAATTAGCTAAAGTCTTTTGCCACCCGAAGTGCCCCTCCGTATCGTGGCATTCCCCCGGGATCAAACGACGGATGTCTTCACTGTTGGGGATGCATAGTTTGTCAGCGACATACTCAAACAATAGCCCGTTCGTGGTTCAATAGTGTGGCTCGCTATCAGGGGCTTCCCTTACTCTCTTCAACAACTCACTATAGATCGGGTCTTGTGCATATGCATCTCTGATCTTCTGCTCCAGATGGGCCCCTATGTCTAGATAGTGTACTATCGCGTCGAAGTAATCAGCTCTCCTACTCAGGACATCGACTACCATGTTATACTTCCCTTTAACGACCTTCAACACGAAGTCAAACTGGTCTATCTCAGCAGCCCATTAAGTCAACTTGGGCGTCATCTTGGCTTGGGTCTTTAACCATCTAAGAGTCTCATGATCCGAATATACCTTGAAGTGCCTCCCAAGCAGGTAGTGCTTCCAGTGGTCTAGGGCCTGCCTGAG